TTGGCTCTCCCCCCAGCCACCCAGGAAGGGGCCAGCTCTTACCTGCTGCACCCAGGCCCTGGAGGAAGTGCCAGGAATTGATTGTTCCTGAATCAGGAAACCTAGGTCTGGGGCAGGGGGCGAAAATCAGCCCATTTGTCAGGAGGCTGAACGTAGAAAGTCAAGTTTTGGGGATTTTGGCATACACGGCAGGATCCTTTCCCCCATTTTCTCCCACTGCTGAGCAGTGCAGCACATCCCTCAGGACAGAAAGGATGTGAATCAAGCAGAAAGATGGAGATGAAAGAGTGCCCTAATCCTTCACGCAGAAGGTGCTCTGACCCATCTCTGCTGTCCCAGTCTGTGCAGCCATTCTATAAACTGTCACCATGTGCCCAGTCCCATCGGTTACTTCCCAGCAAGGAGGCAGACATACAAAGATAATATTTGGGCTCAAAGCTTCCTGTATTGTGCCTGTTGAAAAACTCTACCTTGAAGTAGCAAAATTAGTACAAACAAAGGTCAGTTTCTTTGGACCAAATGTTTCAGTGATTTATTAGCAGTCAATGTGTTCCACCGGAAAACTAAACCTTCAACTGTGGAAGCTAACAGAGACAAACATGCACACATGCAAACACAGGATTAAAAATACTTACCGAGTCTATGATCCCCTGAAGGGCTTCAAAACCATCATTCACTGGAAAGACATGATCTTTGCTGTCGGCAATTCTAGCCAGCTGACAGAGCGGTAAAAGCAAATAAAACAGAAATGCAAAGAATGAGATAAATTAGCCAGCAGGCAGCAAATTAAGCCTTCTCCAGACTCATCCACTTGCAAGTGAAAAAAACAAACACTCCAAGTACCCACTGTATGGCTTGCTAGTGCATTATGGTTTGTCAAGCATTGAAAAGTTTCTCTCTTTAGCCTGACTGGTTTCTAGAAAGCTCTATACTGGGAATCAGAAAAGGTTTCCCTTCACTTTGAAGACAAGGCAGAACGTGGCTTTCACGAACACCCAGAACCTAATGATCTTTACTGCAAAAACTGTCTTCCCACGTGACTGTAAATCGCCCAGCACAGCAGCTCCCCAACCAAAACAGGCCACAGCATCAACAGGACACGTCACCAACGCAGCACATCACCATTTAAACCAGAGAACTAATGAAAATTGATCAGTATTTTCACACACAGAGAAGACTAATGCAAATTAGACCCGTCTGGAGGCACAGGCCTCGTTCACCTCTCCTGTCAGGACAGGGGTTTGACTATTTGTCCCAGGCTCAACCATTATGGAGCCAAGAAGAAGAAACCAGGGAGGTAAGAGAAGATATTTTCTGAATGGAGGGAAAAAGGGAGCAGAAGAGCTGTGGGAAGCCTGCATGACAAGGAAGAGGGCCAGTCACGGGGCAGTGATACGATAAGGGGAACCAGGAGATCACCCGCAAAGAGCCGCATGTGGGTTCACTTGCCAATAGCATGCTAAGGGTTAAGGCAAAAATATAAGCCCAGTTCAGAGGTAATGAGCTCTCCATGCATCTGCTGGAGCAGAATCAAGTTTTACTGCTGCAAGGCCAACGTTTGCAATAGTAATTTTCTCCCATGGCAGAAGTAACATCAGCCCAGCAGGCCTCTTTGGCGTTTCCTGGAGCGTTGCAAATTGGAGGCAGCAGACTAGCCACACATTCCTCCCTAAACCCCGCTGGCTCCACCTTTCCAGCTCCTGTCACTCAGAACTCCCACTTCTCCAGCAAAACACCAAACTGCCAACCTCCTGCTTTGCATCCAGAGAAACACTCCGGACAGCTTTCCCCTGCCTGCTCCGAGAAGGGCATTAAAGCTGCTTGTGGGCCAAGGTACAGCAGCTTCTGCAAACCAGGATGTTGACAATTTCCCCAACTCATTCCCCATAGTCTTCCTCCGAGCGCATCCTGGGACTCCAGACAAAGTCCTCTAATTGCAGTTGATTTCTTCAGCATCTAAATGACTTCAAGTAGCAGCTGTCTTTGAGGTCTGCTACTTTAGATCTAGTCTCTTTGCCATTTTTTTTTCCCCTCCTTGGTTTTTCTGTGACTTACTCTGGATTACACTGGTCTCTGGTTTTCATTCAAAGGAGATTGTTCTAAACCAAGTTTGTTTTGACTCCTTTTTGAATCAGTGTTTGAAGCTTTGTTAAAAGCTGAAAGCCTGGAAAGCTCTCCTCAGTATTTCAGCACTCCATTTAGTGGCTGTGCAAGCGTTCCGCTCATGTTAGAAAAACACGCCAACTGTTACACTTGGTACAAAATGCAATTCCTGGACATACATTCACGGGATAAATTTAGAAATCAGTCTATCAAATGGGAAAAGACAGTAAAATGTGAGTGTCACTAACAAAGCTGTTTGCTTTTTTACAGCATTGTTTTCCTGGGAAAGAAAAGCTGGACTGAAAGTGAAGTGTTGTATGTCAATACCTATTTTTTTTGAGGAAAAAGAAGTCTCCACAACCTCCCTCTGCCTACAGCTTAAGCCAGACTGATTTGCTGTTCTTCATGTGTCTTTTCCTCTACTTTTCTCCACCATTAGCAGGAGTCATTGCGGCGTGCAGACAGAGGGACAGTTCTCCACATATGGAGATTCAGACAGAAAGGGGCTTGAACCCAACACCCAGAACAAGACACTGCCCAACAGCCGACAGAAGGAGAGGAAGCCCTGTTGGAAAGTCTTGAGGAAGTGATTCAGGAGCACAAGCCTGTGTTCAGCACGCCCCTTTGCCGAGTACCTCAGCACACACCACTGCCTCATTTACCTGGGTCTCGTTGAAGTCTTTCACACCAACACAATACACTGTGGCTCCCAGGTCGCGCGACCGATTAGCCTGGAACAAGGAAAGGTAGGATGACATGAATGCAGATGTGATGTGATGCGGGTTTCTGAAAGGTCCTCATCAAATTGAATCTCTGTCAAATGAGCAATGGGGGGGCTTGCCAAAAGAGACCTTTAGAAACTTTCCTCCCTGATTCTGCAGAAACAGGTTTGATCTGCTACTAGAGTAGCTATTTAAGTAAAGCGAACCCCAAGGTATTTGGTGGGGGTTTTTTTAAACTCAATTAGCTCACCTACCTAGCTACTCCAACTTGCTAACATTTGTCTGTTTGACAGCTGTAATGAAATCCATTTTCTTTTCACCATTTAGGACACATCACAGTATAACAGTAACCTAAAACGTTTGGGTGTTTTGTATTTCAGGCATGTGCCTGGGCTCGTATCCACAGGTGAAGAGACATTTCATTCCATCTGCTACAAAATTGTATCACTCCCACTATTTACACCGCATCTCAAGCTGACAAAAGGAGAACCCCCACAGGGTTGATTTTTCCAGGCTATTTCACTGACATGCAGATGAAGTTGCATTTACTATTGAAAAAGCAACTTTTCTAAATGTTCTTGCCTGCGTAAGTCATTTAATCATATTTTATTAGAACAGGAACACCTGACCGAAAACCCATTCCCAGAAAAGATGGCAGCAAGTCAGGTTATATCAGAAGACTGCTATCTAACAACTTGAACTACTACAAAGTGCTTTACAAGAAAAGCATCGTTCCAGCTTTACACTGAAAAATTTAAACCCGAACAACTCACAGTGCAAGAGCTGAGCTCAGGATCTCCATCTACTAGCTCCCTAACTGTCCCTCCCCATACCAAAACAAATATAACACTTCTGACCTCTCAACTTGTTCATTTACCTCTGAAAACAAACTTGATTTCTTGTGGATTTTTGATTTCAGAAGGGAAGAAAAAGAGATGAACAGTAAGGAGGGGAACTCTAGATTAATGACATTTGTTTGTGCTGTAGCAATATCGGGTTTATTCTACAAACCCATTCTTTTTGTTGTTATTGGATTGAAAGCTGCACTTTGGACAGATTGAAAGGAAAAATTCTGTCCATAGCAAAGTCATGTAACAATACCATCTTCCAAGTTTAGGTCATCTTAATTTGTTTGACAAGTGAAAATTGGTTCATCTCTTCAGAGACAACTATCAAAAGGACATGAGTAGGAACACCATATAGCAAAGCTCTGAAGGGCTCAGCCTACTGTTTATCTAACATTTTGCATGATATCTTAATTTAATAAAGGTGTTGAGAATACACGCTTGAATCTTGGAAACATTTGTGGAGATTGTGGATCATCTGAAAGGCTTTCTGACGTGACAGATTATACAGTCATCCTCTTTCCACAGTCTTTACTTTTTGTGAAAGAAGAAAAGTCAGAGTGAAAAGGTTCAGGTATTTCCCAGAACAATCCAGTAAATACTGAACTCTTCAGCTGTGGACTATTCCTTCCTCTGTGTTTGGTGTTTTTGGGGTTTTTGTTGGTTTTTTGGTTTTTTTTAACTGGAAGTTTAAACCCCCCTCCTTTCCTATGAACAGACTCAGTTTTGATGAGTCAGAAGCATTGCTGCTGTTAACACTTGTCCTTAAGATTCACATCTAAAGAGCAGTAAAGGAAAGTTCTGTTACTAGGGAAAAAGGTTTTCCCTGTCTTTTGCCTTCAAAGCAGCAAGCCCAGACATTTCACTGTCTGCCTGGCTAAAAATGTGTAAGACACTTACCTCCCTCTCAGAGTAGAAAAATAAGTCTTCATGGAGTTCTCCATCTGTCAGTGCAATAATGACACTTGCGGTTCTGTAACCTAAATACAGAAACTCCTTTAGTCCCGTGGTTTCCAGTTGTATTTGTTAAACTAGCCTAGAAAACATCCTGCTGGTGACCTGTTGGCACACTTAAAGGGCAAGAAACAATGGACATCAAAGCCCACGTCCTTACCTCCTTCCAGCCAACCAGCTCTCACAAGATATGGGTTTCTGCACGCTTTTTCCACTCAGGCACCTGCCTTCAGTACCAGTTTCATACCACACTCCTTTGCTGGGCCAATGACTTTTAATTGACCAATTTTAAATAATCTTGTGATGCAACAAGAAAGTCGAGTGCTTGACAAAGAATAAGCACTGCGCAGGGTCATTCATGTTGCAGACACCTCACTCAAGTGCCCAGGCTTTCTCTGGAGGAAACGGAGAAAAGTGAGCACTGCTTGTGCAGACTTAGGAGCTCAAATGGCCTCCAGAGATGCCTTTCTCCCTCCGTTGGCTCCAGCAGGAGCCTCAGGACCTGCTGCGGGTGGTACAAACACTCCTTTTAGTGGAGCAAGGACAAACACACAGAACTAATGAACTCAAATCACATGGGCCAACATTCAGACTCGAGGACTCAGTTGTCCACCGCTTCTTGCATATGGTGGCAACCTGTCTACACGTAATATGTACTCTGGCATGTACCAGCATTATCAATCCCAAATCAAATTGTTCTGGCTATCTATTCCCTTCTCCTGCAGTCATATTTCACACAATTGTTTATTCCAGCTCTGGATTCTTAAAGCTCCACCTGTTCTTTTTCCTTTTCAGGAAGAACTCCCTTGAAGAGCATTGAGTTTTTGCAAGAACAGGAGCCACCCCCCACCTTTCCCACAGTGAAGCTGCATTCCAAATTATTAAAGTTATCAGTCAAAAAAAAATAGAAAAAAAACATTCAATGGATCAAGAAAGTCTCTCACCGTGAACATTTTCATAGTAAATCTGTTCACTTGCCTGAAATTAAATCAGAAGATCGTTAGCAATAAATGAATAATACTTTGTGGCCATCTACACATGCACCAGAAAGAAAGAAGATGGCAGTGAGGATGTCATGTTTGCAGTCTGCACATAACCCCTGCTTTTAGAGACACCTGCGTCACAGAACAAGTTTCTTTCCTACCATTTTGATTGTGTTACTTCAAGGTCTTATCTACAGCTTAACTCAGTCAAACCAACCCTAAGGCCTTTGGCCAACAGGAATGTAGTCTCCCACTATCCTGCTATCTGAAAAGCACATCCACCTTCCTACTTGAAAAACATCCTACGTCGATATTTGATGATAAATATTCCCCAGCACCTCCAGATCAACTACCCTAATGACAAATAAACGAACTGCAGAGAAATATTCTTGTGCTTCTGTCTCCGACTTGATCTATCCTCAAGCACATTCTACAAGGTAGAAAAGCAAACCTAGAAACAGACCCACTGACCTACTAGAGAATTATTAACCAGAATCCTTTGTTTAGCATTTCCTGAGCAGAGAGACAGTTTAGAGGCACTATAGCACACATCTAGTTACCCTTTCAAATCCTTCATGCATGTATGTGTCGCCTCCTGGAAGGACTTTCTGCAGCTCTTCTAGACCCTGGCGTATCTGTTCCCTGAAAGGAATGCAGATGCATCGTTAGAGCCAGGATCAAATTTATCAAGAGCTGATATCCAGGTGAAGACATGCATGGCAGGACCAGATACAGAGAGGCAAAAAAAAAGTTAACCCAACGTTCATAAAGATAGTGTCTGGGTAGATAACTTTATAAGGATGTGGAAAACAGAGCAGGCACGCTCCAGGCGTTCCCACAGCCTGAGGAAAGCATCACAACAGCAGCATCTCCCAGGTTGATCCTTACATTTCTTTCTAAATAAATAGTCCCCGTGTGAGCTTGGTCAAACCTCTGATGCAGCAGCAGAGAAGCTGACTTGCACCTGCCTCACTTTCCTCACTTATGCTTGCTGACTTGACTATCCAAATGTAATCAAACAGCCACCAAAAAAATGACAAAAGCTCAAACCATCCTGGCAACTCCATTCTATTTGGACATTACAACTTCAGTTCCTGTTCAAGCCGACTTTCCCAATAGCTCATTATGGTTCAGCACGTCTTTATTTTTTCTGAAATCCCAGGCAGTGGCAGATCAACTGCAGACCAAATGGGGTGGGCACCCATTTGTTGTTCCACTGAGTTGCAGACAGCAAACTCTGGAAGCCGAGTACAGGCAAGAAGCCTTTAATACCAAGATAAAACCCTGCAGTGTGTGGGGTGTATCTCTGAGCAGACTGTATCATCTTCATGGGAAACAGATTCAGTCACTGCACGCTGGACCACACTGTCATTGAAAGACCAAATGCCAGAAGTCCATTTATCCCTTCTTTTTTCTTAAGTACTTCAGAAAATCCAGTTTGTGTGATGAGCACATAGTCTATCTGACATTCGTGAGGCTGATTAACATCAGACAGCCTGCAGAGCAGTAACTCCCACAGGGAGAAAAGAACATCTGCTTTTGCAATAGGTTGAATTATTAAACACTCAGGAAGTAATTCTGTAAGCGCCATATCCCAAACTAGTTGGACACTGAGCTAGGGGGCTAGGGACAGGTATTTCCTCCATTCAGCAACCCTTGCACATACCAAGCCAAAGCTGAATATAAAATCGAGTGCATTTCCTGTGATCAGTTTTTCCAAACACTGAAATTTTAAAATAGACAGGAGGGGTCTTTAAAATATGTCAATCCAGTCCCATTAGATGCACAGAGTTCTTCCAAAAGGGATGCTGAGCACCCTCAATCTTCGTGTTCAGATGATGAGACAGCACATGGAGGCACAGGCAACGTAAAAATTGTGTCACCACTATTCCAGCTCCCCCATTAATGAAGGCCCAGCATGAAGCCCCCACCTTGTTTGTCAGTCCTCCAACAAAAATGAGCAGCTCTCCAGTCAGCTGGCTTTTAGACTAATACCATATCAATATCCTGTTCCCAGTCAACACTTTAGGACAGCTGGATAAATATGAAATACATTTCCACATGGGAAACACTTCAGTCTCCTAGCTTAGAGCCTTAGCAGACGAGAGATCTTTGCAACGGGGTGTGCTCACAGGGTGTGAGATGGAAAGAGGCAGGGAACAGGTCTTCCTCTGGCACCAAGTTAGATATGGTTCATTCTCTTTACACTTATTGTTGCAGTAAGCAGCAAAAGATGCTTGGGCTGGCAGGGGTTAGTGACATTTTTCAAGGCTGGTATGTATGTGGACTGCTCTAGGAGAGCGGCCAGTTTCCTGTTCGTTCCTCTAGAGCAGCTGCTCTGGTATGCAATTTCATACACATCCAATACGTAAAACACATGCTGACTTATACAGTCTTCACATGTGTTATATATATTTTTGCTCCACGTGGCAATGAAGTTAACGGAGGAAGCAAGAGCAATTAAAGGACCTCATCCAGCTCTCCTTGAAGTCAGAGTTAAAAAAAAAAAATCATCCCATAGACTTGACTGGGATTAACTTAGGGATCTACAAGGGGGTGACAGGAACATGCTTCAGAAACATGGCAATCAAATTGTCACTGCCAAAAAATGTACACCCTTGCAGTCCACCCTGGACACTGTTTGCCTGCAACATACCTTCAGACCTCCTATGAACTCATGTTCACCTCTACCTCAAGAGTATGAGTATCACCTACAGCTTTCAAGGTTGTTTTTATGGGAAGGGAATTTCACTTATCTGTTCACGGAAGAAACTCCCTAAGATGTTGCAAAGGCAATGAGGCTCTTGTTCTCTGACAAAAGCCTGAAAACATGTGGAAGGCAGACTCCCAATGAAAGCAGTTTGCATTAAAACCCTAATTGCTGATAGAAAGACATTTAGAAGTTAAAATTAAGGCGGCAACCTCTGCTGTAAGAGGCCTTCATGCAGTCTAGCAGCATGAGTGTCATAGGCAAAAACGGGCAGGTGATTCAAACAATTAACTTGAGGAGCACAGAGGTGTCCCAACACTGCTCACAGTGGAAATCCTTGAGCAAGGAAGGTGAAGGAAGCTACAACAAGGACACAAAAGCTGCTGTGCACCTTTAAACCTCTTCTTACCTGTCTTCTGTTAACCTCATTAGAATTGTCCCTCTAGTTGAAAAAACGATGAAGGACATCCTCAGCTGAGGGCTGGAGAAGGAAAGAAATAAAGTGAATTATTTTGGTGATCCAGACCAGAGCTCACTGTATGCGTAACACCAAACACGCAGGGCGCTCTGGTTGCTATCTAGATTATAGCTCGATAGGATGAAAGACAGGACTGAGCAGCAAAAGGTCTATTGCCTGGACCTTTAGTCAAGGCAAACCATGAGGAATCCTTCTAAGAGATGTAAATAGCACTTGCATCATGACCTTACGATTGCTAAAGCAAGAAAGGCTTAAGTGTGTCCTGGTATCACCATGGAGATGAAGGCAGGCTAATTATGTTTATAACAACACGTTCCACCCACTGGCCTGGGGGATTTTTCATCCCATCTCAAGGCATTCGGTGCCTGAAAGCTACAGCCTCAGGCCTCTCCCTGCAGACCCAACGTTCAGTGCCTCATGCAGGAGCCAGACAACTGGGAAACAGGAGGATTCCTTCCCCACAAAAGCACAACTTGATCCATGGAAGTCAGGCAGGAAAAAAAAGGAACAATTAGCTTATCTACTCCTATTTCCTACATGACAGAAATTTGGGGGAAAGCAGTCAATGGGATGATGTGAGAAAAGCATAAAGAACTCCCTCTCCACCAGGGGACTGGCACCAGCATGTGCTACTGACTGGAACTGAGAGCACATCTCCCAGCTGCTGGCACACACACGCCTCCTCACATGGCTATCTGCAAAGCAGCACTTCTTACCTTATGAACTTGCGGGCCAAATGTTCCACAAAATGATAGATTTCATTCCAATGGTGCAGGACACTTCCTGATCTAGGGAAGCAATTAATACAGGAGACATTAGTTTCATTGCTGCTATTGTTGTTTCCCCAGCCTCATGTTTTGTTACACATTGCTCAGCTAGTCATTTGTTTTTATTTCAACACTCACTGTCCATATTCTTCCTTTAAAGAGATATTAAGCTGTAAATTACATTTCCTCCTTCACTTTGAAAAGCAAGAACAATTTACACTCCACGCAAGTGTTTGAGTCTACACTTGGCAATAACACATGGCAGTTACGCTGGACCTTTAGCGCAGCCTGAAACAAATAAACCCTGCGGGAGTGAGGACCTGTCTCACTGCACAGTATTTCAGATTATTTCCACCAACTCACTTGCCGTACTGTTATGCAGAGCTGTTAGCTCAAGTGTATTTTGAGAATAAACTGCTGTTGGAGGAACAGATTATTAAATTTCTCTAGTGTTTCCACTGTGCTAGAGACTACGAAAAGTAAAACAGCTTAGGTGCACATCTCGACTGTTCTGGCTAATTCTTTCACACCTCAGTTAAAGAAAAAAGGAACTAATTTTGCTTCTCAGGAAAATAAACCACGGACTACAATGGGATCGGATTCTTCTTCTTTGTGTTGTTAAGAACAAGGAAAAAAATTAGGTTAATCAGAATCTTTCAGTACTAAATGCCTCTTATGGCATAAACACTTCTAGGAACACTGGAATATTAATATTGGAAAAAAATTCCTTCCTAGAGTTGGAAAATAAATGTGTCATCAGTTATTTAATTCAATGACCACAATTAAAAATATTTATAGGGCAGACAACCATTCCAGCTTTAAGATAAACTTTATTGATCCGCAGCCTGAGGAAGGAAAGATGAACGTTGGAGATGTTTTTTCACTTCACAGAAAGAAAACACATCTGACCAGACCCTATTCTACCTTAGATGTGAGAATGCAACCGAATAGCCACAAACAGACTCACCCCAGCCCTGCAGACCTGCTACAGCTAACCCCAGCCCGGCTGCCGAGAGCATTACTTCACTTCCTAGCAGCCCAGCAAGGATGCAAACCACATTGCGCAGGTCATACAGATTTCCTTCCCTATTCTCCCCGCACCTGGTTTTCATTTACAGCCATTCAGTAAAAACCTCGGCCTTACCCACTTGCTCCACGATACCTGAAGCCATTCTTTCTCTCTGTGACCCCAAAGGCAGCCTGAGGGGACATGCAGTGAGGACCCTCGCGCAGGTACGGGAGCACGTGGGCCATCTGGAAAAGCAGTGAATGCTCTGGCTCTCACTGCACAAAGGACCCAATCAAATGCACCTCTTTAAAGATAACCTTACAGACCCCTCTGCTCTGTCCTTGATTGTCAGGGACAGATCACAGAGGAGACTCGTTCCTAAGCGCCAGATTACTTCTTGGCTCTCTTTCCTTTCATCAGACCAGAACCTGAAATCATTACGTGTTCTCCATGCAAATGTGTGTCAGAGAGGACCAAAGAAACACCAACAGCAAGGGTCTTGATAAACTAATTAAACCCCACAGACACTGGGAAATTGGTGTCTTAACAGATGAAGGGCAAGGTGCATCAGGACTTGCTCTCAAACAAGAAACCTGACCTCCGCTGCATCCAAACGGCAAACTGATAGAACAGAGACACACAAAGCTCAACCCCAGGTGCAAATTCCTCTCAGGTGTACGGAATAACTCTGAGACCTCGAATATGACAGACACTCCAGCCCCATCAGTGCCAAATAGCCCAAATCATTTCTGAGAAGTGGCCTGAAAAATAAATATTTATTGTTTTTATATGGCATAAAAGAAACACTCGAGTTTATAGCAATGGTTACATCAGTCTCCAGAAGCCACACAAAGCCAAAGCTTTGTTAACCATAAAACAATTACTACCTCCTTCAGTGAAAGGTATGTTGCTTTAGACCATAAATCACCTCCCAAAAATGTACGCCTCGTTAAAGGTCTGCATGTCTCCTGAACCACCTGGCAGCAGACACGTGAAGCCAGGCCCCTTTCACAAGTACGCCCTAACCAGCCTTCTCCGAGCCATCAGAGGAGACGACTCAGCTCTCAGCCTCTGCCAACGCAGGAGCTGCAGCGAGCCCCCGCTGGCACCAGGACACTGCCCTAGGAGCTGCACTAGCCTCGCAAAGTGGGGTTGTTTCTTCCCCTTCATTAGAAGCCTCCGAAAAAAAGTTGATCGTCGCTTAAAATTACTATTGCAGCAAGGCAGCCAGGGACGAGACCCAGCCACAGAGCATGTAAGGTATGCAGGTTGTCCTACGAAAGTGTCATTTCCCATGGCTTTGAGACATCATGTGTTTTTTGAAAACAACATTTGCCAGAATGAAGCTTAAAAACCAGTAGCTCAGCCCAGTGCTGTGCCGGTCAATAGCACATCCTGTTTAAGTGTTTGCCTTTGCAACTCTTGTTCCACTGGTCTTAACTTGTTGGGGCATATTTTTTTCAGCTAAGCAGTGCTTTTTAATTCTTCACACAAGTATGGCTTCAGCTCCTGCTGCACCTCCTGCCCTTCGTCATCCTCACTTTGTTCTCCCACCAACAGTCCCATCTCTACACCCTCTGGAACAAAACTCCAAGAGCTGCAGCTCTTTTTCCATGAAACCGTCCCACGCATCTATTAACACACAAAAGGAACAACCTGAAGTTCAATAGCGGCAGAATGCTACATTTCTACTTTAAGGAAACTTCTTACCATTGCTACTATTATAAAAGCAAAACAACTCTATCCCACAAAAGGAGGATGGTTTCTGCTTTCAGTTCCGAGGTGGGGCAATTGAAATAGTCTACAATCCATCCATTCTTCATCTCTACCAGAGCAAGCTATAAAAGGCTCCCAAAATGAAGGCTCACACTTTTGCTGACCATCCGTCGTTCCTTCCAGCACAGCACGTTTACATCGGTAGCTAGAGAGCTCGCAGTCTACTTGCAGATAATTTCTCCACCTCGTCCAGCCCAGGTATCAGTGGCTGTAGATACCCGGGTCTGCATTTAGAAGTAAATTACTCCTCTAATGCATTAAATACATCTCCTGAAACACACTTCGGACTTCTTACAATCCTCACTTGGCATAAAATAGACAAAACCAACGAAATGAACTCTTTTGCAGTCAATAGAGTGTTTACAAAGCCAGCACTAGCTCTGTGTTCACCTCCACAGCTTTCGGCTGTGTTGTTTGGAAGCCCCGCAGTAAAAGACACTCGTCGCTTGTAAAGCCTCTCATAATGCAGGCCAAGGACTCTGAGAGACACAGGTGTTTCTCAAGCCCAACTGTAAGACAACAAAAGCCAAACTGAAAATGGTTCTCTCTTTGTATTCCCAAAGAGAAACAAGACAGAGAGCCAACACTTTGCAGCTGAATAGCTGACACTATAAACTTGCAATTTAACAAAAGGCTCATCCTGAGGATGCCAAATTCTCTTCCTGGAGAAAAGCCCAACAAATGGAAATTAAGACTAAGTAAACCATTATGCCTTTAACAAGAGAATGATACATGCTGTGGTCCACGGTGCTGGCGCTTTGCACACCTGCACTAAATGCCAGGGTGAGAGAGACATGCCATGGCTCCACGGTTCTGGACATGGAGCCCCGCTCCGGCTCAGCCCTGCCCTCCAGCAGGTGCTTTTCTCCAGCTCACTGGGACAAGACGCACCAGAACCCAAAGCTGCAGCAACTCAAACCTCCTCACAGTTTGTCTTTGTTTCACTTTACAGACTCCTTGTTTCTGTTTCTGTCATTGTACTTTCTCAGAATACCCACGGTTTTAATTCACAAACTAGAATAAAGCAGAACCAAGCCCACAAACTCGCACACAAAGACTCCACGCCAGTTCCGTGCAGGGCAGCTGACAGACATACATAAGGACACCTGATGCAGAGAATGATGTTGATGCAAATCCTCTTTAAACCTCCAGAGTCTTGGACTAGCTTCAAGCAGTCTCAAAGCTGTCTGAGGTGGCATTGACCCAAGAAGCTTTACAGCATCTTTTTGAGCTCTTTAACAATGAGCCAAAAAAGCATCCTTTGTCTTCCCAAACACTTCAGGAGCAATTTTGAAAACACTACATAACACAGAGATGTCAGATAGTTTCCTCAAAGCATTGCATCACCTATCTTGCACCACACTTCACACGAGACAGCTCACCAGAGATACCATCAAACATTTGAGATCACAAGGTCTGTAGAGGTCCAGTTCAGAGCAGGATAAGCCTCTAAGCCCAACCGCAGTCCAAGAACATTCTTCTCTTCCTGAGTGGCAGGGGATAAGCAAAAAAAAAAAAAAAAAACCCAAAAAAAAAACCACCCAGCTAATAAACAACTACAGACTGAATTTACATCAAGCAGTAGATAAAATGCAGAGTGCTGCAAGCACACAATTCATCCTGGATGTAGCGCAGCTCCCATCCACCCCTTTTACCAAGGAATAGTTAACCTTTGATTCACCACTGGCTAAAGACATGTACACAGGTGATGGGCAGCACTTCACACAGGAGCAGCTCATTGCAAAGGCATGCCCACAGCAGACTTAGGAGTGAATTACATTCCTTCAGGCAACAAGCAGAGAGACACAAGAATGAGTAAATTTCTCCACACTACCTTGCGAGCATCCCTTAACCCTCACTCTAAAACCAAGAAGATATACTCCATATACTTGCAACCCCCTGCCAGGCAAACAAAGGGCATACGTCGCTCTGGGTTCAGGCCTGCCATTCCAGAAAAACAAGGAATCACTGACTACGCCAACAAAGATCAGAGATCATTTTGACTCTATTTCCACAGACACTCCATTTTACCATATACCTACTAAAGGTTTACACTTCTTCAGATTAGAGCAGCCAGATTATGACTCAGCTCTGTCGGCATCCTGTGGTTAGCTCTGTCGGAGGGCTCACGTTTCCCAGGGGAAGAGTCACTGCTACCAGGAGCTGCTCCTGTAGGTCAGTCTCCCTGCCTGGTGATGCAGTGTTTGCCGCTCTCCATCCCACTGTGGCCCCTATATTCTCCTCCTCTGAGTGTAAATCTGGGCTTAGTCCCACTTAAATCACAGTAACTACAGCTACTGAAGCTAGACTCACAGAAAGAACTATTCGCCTCTCTTCAGCAGGAGTTTCACTTCAATACAACTGGTTAAAAATAGATCAGCTGTCTGGTGGAATAACAAAAGGATCACAGGAAACAGCTTGGATTACTTGCCTCATTTTGCCAAGGATCTTTTAGAGCCAAGTTTTCTTTCACACACGTACAGTTCCTTGCGTGTTTTCTGCACGAGTATAGAACGCCTGCTATTTGTGCCCAACAGGCAAGAGCACAGGAAATAACACCTTTGACACAGAGGATACAGCAAAAGATTCTGAGAAGACTTTCATTGTTATCCCCTCCTCCCTACCTGCGAATAAATTAACCCAGGAGCTGCCTCTAAATGTTCCAACTGTGCTCATGGGGGGCATCCACACACTACTGCACTGGAAACCATGTCAGCTAAGGGGTGGGTCAGAGTCTTCATTAATTAGTCACATGGATGATATTTTTAGAATAACTAGACAACATCAGCAAAACCAAATGTTTGGGTTTTTTTATTAACATCTCACTGCCTCCTCATTCTTCCTTCTTAATGAAGGCCCTGCATCCTATCTTGCACCCAGGCTGTTCATTCTTTGGCACCATCTTCTGCTGTAGGCTTTGCTACCATTCAGTTTACGGGAGCCTCCACCTATGACACCCCTCAGCAACACAAAAGGACATGCCATCTCCGATCAGCTCTCAACAATTCTCCCAAGATAAGCCAGCATTCCCTTCCACAACTCATCGTGGTACAACCTCCAGAGCACCCTGTAGGACGGGATCCTGCATACACCCTCAACAGCAAATCGCATACAACTGTACTCTAAATAACATGCGGCTTGAGTTGGAGCCCTCTCCACCTTTTTTTTTTTCGCAATCAAAGCACAAGAGAAATGGATTAATCCACTCAGCTCATGTGAATAGCATTCCTTCAGAGAACCTGCTGCCAGGCAGCCGAGAATTTCAAGTTAGCTGTTTGGGTGTCTAAAGCTATTTTTGACCTTTTAAGTTTGCTGCACGTCAAGCAACGATACTCAAGAGAGCTGGCAAACCATCATTTCCTCCAAAGTTGGAGCACTGCACCAACAACAGCGTGACAACTTCAGCTTTACTTGGCAAGGAGGTTGCCCAGCTGGCACCGCAGTCCTCGGAGGGGTCCTTGCACCACTTCTGGTGCAGAACTCTGCTGCCCTGAGGTCCAATGGTCGCAGCACGAGAGGCCTCCCCTATTGCTGCCTAAGCTGTGCGAGAACTCTTGGAAGTGATAGAAGACACCCAAGTGCCCGCACAGAGATGAAGGATGCCATTGTCTCCAGCAAGCATATCTGGTATCGCTCAAGCTGTTGTTCTGTTTGTCACATGCACATCAAGGCTGTGCAGCATAACAGGGTTGTTTCTGAATGAACGAGTCATGGATTTTCTTCTCCTTCATGACCATGAGAGACGGGAGATTTGCTTCAGATCCTCCGAGCATGCCATCTGCAGGGATCCATGTCTCCAGCTGCCTGCAGATAGCCAGAGCAAACCCTGTTTCCCTTCAGAAGTTCACACAGCAAGGCTGCAGGAGTCTCCTAAGGAGAACGTCCCAGAGAGCTAGAGCATCACTTCATGAGAACAGCCCCTCACACGCGTCCCTTCCCCAGAGGGTTACGTGTTCAGTTGGAAGGGCTTCTTGTGGCCAGAAGTATGCTTCGAGAGCCAGTGCTGTGACAAGGACTGTGCAATGCAGCAGCCGGAACGTGTCCTACGCGCAGCGGGTGCTCAGCGGACTGAAGCAGTCACTAATCCAACCAGGCACCGAGGCAGCAGGGTCAGCAGAGGGCTCCAGCACTGGTGGCTTCCAGGGCTGTGTTTATTGGTTTTATGTTACTGCTTTGATCCCAGAAAGTAGGTTGCTTAATATTTTAATGGCTTTCTTCTACCATTGAAATTAAAATTTCATGTTTCAGAATCTAAATCTCTTCTGCTTGAGTGTCCTTTATCTCTTTTAATAACTTTTAAACATGTTTAGAGCTATTTCAAAGGAAAGCAGTCAGCCCTGAATCTATTATCATCATTTCATAGCTTGCCTGAAGGCCTCTCTAGGCATCACCTCTCTCTGCATTCAGGACTTCAGCAGCATTGTCAAAACATTCCCTGGACCATTAGAAGGTAGAAAACCCACGCTAAATAAAACTCAAGTTTTTTAGAACTTCAGCTTAGCATCTGAGGAATTAAAGAAAGTTTTAAAGATAAAGGATAAAAGACAACCTCGTCTACCACAGTAAGTCTCTCATGAGCCTCCTCAAAGGCTAAGCAATCAGGTCCATGGCATACCGGACACACTAGTGGCTTAAACACCATAACTCTCCTCCAAATTCCACTGGAGACCAAGGACATTCTTACATCAGACCCTGTTCACTTCTCCACAAGAAAAATCCCAGAAATAAGAATCCTGCAACTGGTAAAGCAGGATTTTTTGTTGGATACCTTGATATATCCACTGAGGTAAGCCTGTCTGCTTTAAAGTTTGTGCCAAGCTCTGTATTTCCACCCAAATTCATAATCCCTTGAGTAAGCCTAGAAAGTTGTGCCTTTTAGTAAGAGGACAGCACAGAACTTGAAATAATTGGCAGTTCAAATTACATTAGCTCAGAGGTCTAACACAGCATGTCCATCAGATTTGATAAAACCTTTGATTCTGCTTCAACTTTCAGGGAAATGCAGTCTGCAAAAGCTGTCTGCAGTCCAAATCATACTCTATTTGGGGTTTTGTTGTTTGGGTTTTTTTTTTTTAATACGTTGCAATAAAAGTATTCCAACTAACAACTGAACAGCCAAAGCAAGAAAATGCAATAGACAGATCTTTCCACTGAATAAAGCAAAAAAAAAAATCTTTCCCCTAGAGGATTAGGACAACTGGCACACTAAAATAGCCAGTGTCTCAGTCTAGCATTTCACCCAGTATTTTGTAATAAAGTGTTATGTAATTCCAAGTCATTTATACTGATGGAATGTGGGAGCTACTGCAAAACACTCAAGAGGATCAGTCAGAAAGCTTCATCTGCAAGCACTTTTGGCAAGTTACAAATACTTTCCTGTCTCTGAAATTTATGGTTAATAATGTCAGTACCATGGCTCTGGCATGTGTATTCTCCAGTATTTCCAAACCTTTGGTTCAGAATAACTTCTTAATCAAGAAAATTAGGAGAATCATTTTAGCTAGTATTTTCTAATACTTTTCGGTAAATTTTTGTATTGAATATGAAGCTTTCCAAAGCTCAGCACATATCTATTTCACATTGCTCCATCTACAATTTGAAGGCCTGCAAAGAGGCAAACTTACCAGTGCCAAGAAGATGACACTGTGACAATTGGTGACAAAAAAAGGGAGGTAGGAAGTTATCTTCAGTATAAACAGGTAAGCAGTCAAAATATGCATTTGATTAACAGGAAACAAAGAAAATGTGACTCAGCGTAGAGCAAATAAAAGCTCTCTTTAAATAAGGCACTCTGTTTTCCACCACAACAGCAAAAATCAGACCCTTTCAAAGGGAGCAGCCACCTCTCAGAGCCCCGTCCATACCTGCAAGTTGCTACTCTAGAATGCTCAGAGCTAAGGAGCAAGCGGCACAGAAGCAGACCACCAGGCAGGCGAGCATTTCCTCCACGTTTCTCAGCTACAGAATTAATCCCTGCAATAATAACTCTCTAACCTCTGCTTTCTGAGTGCCTCAACCTCCACAGTTCAAAAACCAGAGGTGACCAGGGCTTTGCCCTTCTCCCAACCGCTCCTCTAAGAAACTACGGGGTCAAGTACACAATAAAGCTCCCATATCAGCCGCAGCAAAATTTATAACAACTTGATTTACAGAGCACAATGGGATTATATACTAGACCTACCAAAGAAGTTACCATAACAAAAACAAAGCCACAGTAGCAAGGAGTTTCATAGGTCCCTCGGGGACACAGTGACTTCTACAAAACCAAAATCCAAAGCAAACCTCCTCGGTATCAGTACATGCCATGCCAGTTCGTACCTAGACAAAGATTTCTTCGAAAAAGAACAGAGTAGCACTGACTTACTTGTCTAGAATGAAATACAAATCAAATCCTCCGTAACAGGCAGGACCACCATTCTCTCTCTTTCCACCTTGTCCATCACAGGCTAGCATAAAAGTTGCTAGGAAGAGACATTTGAAGCCAAATCTCAAGACGCTTTGCTTTGCAATAGCCATTATATCCAGAGAGGAGGAGAAAAAGAAACTCTTCTTCCAAGGCTCCTTTATTTCACAGGTTTCTCCACAAAAGCCATTCAATGACCTTTAAATGTATATATGAATATTTTATTCCTTAAAGCTCCACTTGCAACAGCTGTCCTCAGGAATCGCAAGACTTTCCCCCTTGTTTCCCTTGCACTTCTGTTTCTTGGTTTCAGATTTCAAGATGCACAATACTGTATTTCACTTTTTTTTTTTTAAAGGGACTTGACCCTCAGTCTCTCTTGCAGCTCTCAGAAAGCAGCACCATTGTTTTGCAAGAGAAGGAGCAGCCTCCTAACAAATCTTGCTTTGTCACAGACTCCAGAAAAATACAGGGAGGGTTTGAGGTTTTTTTCCCCCCCCAACTATTATTGTTATTATTATTACGGATGGTAAGTTTTATTTTTCCTTCACAAAAAGAGCTCCGAGAATGCCACCTTGTGGCAAAAACTCAAGCTGACAGGAGTCTCTGGTTTTAAGCACATCATTCGTGCACCGAGCATACTGAACATACACCCCAGCAGCTTCAGGCGCGAACACAGAAGCGATTTGCCCACAGCAGTCACGCAGCACTGTGCAGAAACACTTTTGTTTCCCACATAGGCAACATCTGAGTTTAAAGACCTTTAAAAACCTCGGGTAGTTTCAGAAAAGTTAAGCCACACTAAGTGGCATCCCTTATGTTTCCTCAGTCCTGAGAAATATCAAGCACAACCTGTGCCTGTGAAACAGGCTTCCCCCTCTCACCATCCTTAGAAAACTCATTTCAGCCCCTAGAGCCTAAACCCTCCCTCTTCCAGGAAAGTTTTGTGGAAAATAGTAACTTCAGCTCCACTTGCATTTTCTGCCCCCTTCTACAAACAGCGCAAGCACCAAAACCTGAGTAAGACAGGTCAGGAACAAGAGCATCCCCCAGCACCAGAAAGAACTAAAGAAAGAGACACTAGGAGCAGGGGCTCACCTTCCCCCTCAAATCCTCTCAAGGCTGTAGCAACACGCCTGTTCCCCATCACTGCTAACTGCTGCTCCACGGAGCTGCCTCAGGTGTTGCATTCAGCGTGGGGGAACCAGGTCAGGTTTCTGAAAGCAGACACAGGTGCGCTTGAACCTGGCTGTCAAGCTGTTCTTCGTTGTGTAAAGAGTTAAATTTGTCTTTAAAAAATCCTTAGAAAAGCAAAAAATCTGCAGAAAGAACAGGAAAAGCAGCAGGATAGGTTTCAAGGGAAAACAACATGATAACAGAATTTTGACAGAAGCGGAAGAGTCTGGAGAACAAAGTAGTTCAGCACCTTGCTGCATTGATGATTAATAATGTTGGGAGTGTTCTCCCTCCCACAGCTGCTTATGCTCAGCAAACACACCAGCTCATCACCTCTAACCTGGGGCAAACGGCACCTCCTCGGACCTGCTGCTAAATCCTGATCAGACCTGAGGGAAGGGGAGATCCCTTGCAAGTCAAAGCTTCTCTAGGGCTGGACAGGAGCAGAACCAGGTGTTCTGTAGATGGATATTTTGGGCTTCCACACCTAAAGTCCAGGGGAGCTGGGAGTGCGGGTGTGAGTGTCTCACTTAGTCTGGGAGTAGTAACACAGCTCATTGCTGCACAGGCAGAAGATCTGTGTCAGGGTATCAGACTCTCTACAACAAACAAAACCAAAGCACAATGTCAGAAACACCCATGAAAGCCGTTTGCTGCGGTAGCTGCGATGCTTCCCACGCTGAGGGTCAGCGCCTGCACCAGCCCAGGGCGGGCAGAATGCAAGGGCAGGTGTTTGGGGAACTGCAAAAAAGAGGAGGAGCTGCCTCCTGCTTGTTGCACGTCTGAGGGATCTGGTTGCTTAAATCCTGGGAGAGGAGGCTGCTGGAGGATATTAGAGATCTGGGGGTCCTGCAGGCAGCATAGGTGTGCTAGGTGAGCAGGTAGGGTTTGGGGATTTGGAAGTTTCATACGGCTGCTCTGGAACAAATCTGTTTGGAGTTATGAAACTTGAATTACACAAATAATGGGATTATGTATAGAGTTTTGTGTGGGGATTTGGACATTATACTGCCCTAAGGAAGGGGGTGAGACTAGCTCAGGGTTTATTTTTTGTTATTTTAAAAGAAAATGAGTTGAATAGGGGATGTAAAAATAGGAAGAGTAGAAGAAAAGCTTCTTCTCTAGGGAACTAATGTGCTGGTTTTGAGCAATCTTGGAAAAGTACTTAGGGCCAGCTTCTGATCTGAGGTACAGCTAGGGCTCCTACCACAGCCAGATGAAGTATTGTGTGCTCACCAGTTTATGATCTGTGTCTGCCTAAAGATTAAAAGTAGACCGAGAATCTCATTCATTTGTTTCTGATTGGCACTGAGATGAACAAATATGTAGAGTTTAAAAAAAAAAAGTACCTTAGGAAAATAATTTTGGCCTGAAGCTAGCAGAGGGAAAGGAGGGGAAGTGGAGGAGGAGGTCAGATTCTCTGTATAGCTGTGGATTCAGGCTGACAGAAGGCCCAGGAAAAATTGAGAAAAAGCCAATGAATGAGGCATCAGCTGAAGCTTAGAGCATTCTGAGATGGAGGGAGCTGCTGACAAAGTGGAACACCAGCTTTGTGCTGTACCTCTGACTTTCTCCAGGGCTACTCTTCATGTGCCTCTCTTAAGAATGTGCATTTTTGCTTATGATCTGGTAATAGCAGCATAACTACTGGGATACTCTGAGAAAAGCAGTTCTGTAATAGGAAGCTCATGTGAGACACAGGAGGGGGTGTTGGAATTTCTGTTTGTCCCTCCCTCACTAAAAATTCTGGAAACAAAAATATTATGAAGACTATAGCTTTGTGTGAAGACCTGACAGTTCTTGGAGAGACTGGGTGTGTTGTATTCTTTGTGAGAAGGTGCTAATAAGTAAGGTGTTTTGATTGCATACAGCAGTTCAAGGAGTAACTAAGTTCCAAGTGATGCCCTTGGTGTGTGAACAGAATTTGCATATGTAAATGATGGGGGAAGTATGTTCAGCGGGTTTTCTTGTTTTATCATCTGCTCCCTTATGTATTTATGGGACCTTTGCTGAAACTTGCAGCTTGGAAGAAGCTGGTTCTGTTGGTTTGTGGTAACAGCGCTGTTGGTGATAGGTGAGATGCAGCACATGACAGCGCTGTGTGGGTTTTGTGAGCACTCACGTGGGTGTCTTCGGGGGTGGTTCCCTTTGGCTTACAAACGTCTGCCCTGTATGCTGGATGATGGCTGCTGTCAAGATCTCAAAATCATCTTCCTAGTTTTCATGGCACTTGAGGAAGCTGCTACAGCAGCCTACATGGATAACTGAGATAGAATCATAGAATGGCTTGGGTTGGAAGGGCAACGTGTCCCACCACCCTCACAGTGAAAAATGTCTTTCTAATATCTAAAGCTCTCAAATCTGCCCTCTTTCAGCCTAAAGCCATTACCCCTCAAACTGCCTATGCTGACTGACAGTGTTGTCATAAACGTATCGGCACTTTGCAGGAATTACTTCTGTCTTCAGGGTAGACGTGTCCTTAAATTCCCTGGCTGTATCTTCCAACGGTGTAGCTCAGCACAGCTCTGCTAGTATCAGCAGAGCTCCCCTGTCCTACCTGGTGCAGCACAGCAGGCTGCTCGGGGTGGCAGTTCTGGGCCTTTACATTTCCACTGTACAACATGTGAATCAAGTCTGACACCCCGCGGCCACAGTGGCTTTTTTCTTCCCTGATTGCTCTAATTTTTCAAGGCATCAGTAACTTCCTTCTCTCTTGCTTTTATCTGACTTTGCCCTGCCTTGATTTTATTTGCCTGTGCTGTAACATGTAAGGCTGTATTGCATTATTTTTCTGGTGATTAGAGTTCATTCCACTAGCTGTCTTTTAACAAGGGCTGTTAACCCTGCACTTGTATGTAACTCCTTCCTGAAGAGAAGTATTAGGCTAAGTACACACATGAAAATATATTGCTGGTAATGTATTAAGTAAAATAGGAAATATGGTGTAGGGATTGAATGATTCTGCCATAATTTAAGAACACCATGTAGTTGCTTTCCAAGTCTTTTTTTATAATTTCTGCTTAAATGTGCCTAAGAACAGGGGTGCAGCCAGTCAAGAGGTGGTCCCCTTTCGTTACTACAGTAGGTACTAAAGTTGTGCAATAAGGCCACTCACTCCTCACAGCCTCCCCTCCTCTGCTCAGTGTTGCATGAATATTGCTTTACTTTGCCTTTATTTTAATGTTTCCAAGCATTTTGCCAGGGCTAGAGCATCCCTGCAACACCTCTGCAAGTGGTTTTTTTACATTAGCTTATAGCCAGACAAAATTTAGGCCAGTCTGCTCAAAGGGCCATATCTCATTAGTGGTATCATTCTCTCTAACTGAGTTTAGACAAAGACGATCAGCCCAGTTCCCACTGATCCTGAGTTTGGAGCAAATGATGAAGAAATCATTTTCATTTCTGAAAACCTGATTTTTGACTTCCCTTCTTAAATGAAAGCACTCAATATAAAGTACTTTCTAAGAACCTGAGTTTAAAACTCTGCAAGCTCTAACGACCAAGACCAAACCACAGCACAGGTGTCTGGATCCTCAGTCTCCTGTGACTCACAGGAATGTAAACTCAGTATTCTCCTTAAGAGTCTGTTCAATTTGATCAGGTATTTAGGCAGCAGGATAAGCTCACATGCCCAGCAGAGGGAGCAGAGCTGCACAGAATGAAACATTCAGATCTACTGCCTACATTTCACATAATCCTATGGGATTTAAAAATAAAACATTGTTGGATTTGCAGTGTCTGACTCATCCTTTTCAAAGTGCTGTAAACATGGGGAATGTGACCATTTATCTATGAGGCCAGGTGCATCTTAACAGATCCTGCTCCTCCTTGAAGACACTAATTAACCTGACGTACTCCAAACTGGAGTTGGGACTGGAGTGATAAAGGGAAAAAATTTCCCTCTTCAGCCTGTACTGTGTTGTCAATTTATCCTTCTAATCACGTTTACAGATCTCCTTTGAGTATTGTCTGTCTTTCATACCACACTTACTAGCACATCCGTTAGATTTTACAGGATGAAATGCAGAAGGGTATCTGCAGGGTGCAGCTGTGTTTTTTTTTTTTGAAATCCCAGATCAGTGTGTCTCAGAGCCTGGGAGATGGCTTTGTTGACATCTGCCATAAAGTGCCCTCCGCCATTAAGTGTCACCTCCCGAACCATGGTGATTTTCTGCAGCGCTGGGGGATGGCATGGGCTGCAAGGTTTGTAGCGAGACTGTTGTTGCTGTAGTTGTTCTTCAGAACTCCCATCCCAGCAGTGAGAAGCAAATGTGTCCATATGCTGTGGGGGTGTGCTGGCAGGCACGGACTCTGCACTGAGGTAACAAGATGTGTAACAGCTCCGCTCAATACCAAGAAATAAAGTTTCTATTGAAGCATCAGGTTTATTTGAGCCCTTAACTCTGTTTCTTCAGATCTCCTGTAGTCCAGTTTTAGAGTATTGTATTTCTGTTACTGCTGAGAAGTTTCTTTGGTTTGTTAGGTGGCTGAAGTTTCCTTTTCTTTCACTTATGTTTGCTGTTAATATGCACATACTATTACCAAAAAGTTTCTTTTCCGTCCTTACTGAAAAGCAAGTTAAATAGAGAAGTGACAATAAGAAGGCAAAGTAGGGCATGACAAGAACTGAAAGATTTTGCTAGAATACTGTCTAATGACTAAAAATAAGTTAAAATCCCCTCTAAACTTCAATTCTTGCCTCTTTCTGTCATATTTAGCCTTAGCAGAATGAGAACTGACGGTGTGTAAAGGAATTAAACTTGTGTAATACCCAAAAGGAAGGAGATTAGCAGCAACAAACTACTGTCTCTCTCCTCTGCTAGGGCTGATGGGTGCCCATCCAGATAATTCAGATGCTTTTGCCTGAGATGTGCCTAAGTGAACTCCAGATCCTTTCAAACTGCTACAGCAGAAAGCTTCTGGGGATCAGTGAGAGGGTCACAGAAAGTGAGGGATGTTGCACGGCCGGTATTCTTAAAGACGGGTTTGTATTCACCTGGATGACCCAGGGCATCCCACCATTTTTGTTAGAACAGGGGAAACAGTCAAACTTGATTTTAAAGTTCTGAGCAAAAGGGACCTCGCCTTGCTAAAGTTTTAGTGTTTAACAGCCCCACTCCTTTCTTAAAAAATTGTACTTTAATCCCTCTCTAAACTTCTCTACTTTCAAATGCTTGGGATTGGCTTCTTACACTCCAAAGTTTTGATTCTTCTCTATGGGAGTGGCTTGACCACATAGGAAATTTGAGTTCAGGCGTCCACCACAGGGTCGGGGAGGGGAAAATTGTTGTGAGGTGACAGCAGTCCAAGATAAATGCATCCTTCCAGTTGCCACTTTTTTTAAAAAAACGGTTAACTTTGTAGCAGCAAGCTTCATGCTGGGTCAAAGTAGAGAGGATACTGTTTGTCTCTAGCCCCGAGCTGACAAATGCTTTGTCCAATGGCCTTGTTAATTCAGCAGAAACATTGCTGTATTCTTAGCTTGACTCATGCCAAATCCAACTCCTGGAAGACGGGACATGCAGAGAATCCAGGACTAGCTATCAGGAAAGCGTGAAGACTCTTTCTATGTGTCCCTGGCAGCATAAATGGAATAAATCTTTCATCTCCCCTTACAATGCCATTGCAACATTAAGGAAGGAAAACTAAGTCTGGTTATCTCGCATCTTCAAGGCTGGGTTAGAGGTGTTGGGGAGAAGACAGGTGGGAATCTTGCACTGTCTCAGGGGAATCACTAATTCTGTTTGTATTCTGTATGCATCTTGGAAGAAAAGCTTCATCCACCTGAGTGTTCAACATGATGCCTCCAGCCAGCCCTCGCTATGCGATGGAGAAACTGGAGGACTCTAGGAACGGAACCACTCTGTAAATCCTACAAATCAGACTCCTTCTCCTTATAAAAAAAAGGTAAATTAGTTGCATTGTCCTTCTTTCTTTCTACCTTTCATGCCACATCAATCAAGATTCTTAATGTGAGGCATATTTCCCTGACAAGGGACAGGAAGGTTTTAAGTCTGTACACCCTGTTTGCTGCGTATGTCCTCTGATGCCCACCTCTATGGTGTGCCCTGTGTGAAGAGCTGGCTTTTGAAAGAGCAAAGGGCTCAAAAGGGGTAGAAGAGATGCAATCAAAATGTTTCTGGATGTGTTCATAGATGCTAAAAGGTAAAATAATGAGAAGGTAGACAGAGTTAATCCATGCTAAAGGTCTTTATTTGAAAGATATGGTCACCAATTGATCTGTTTCAGCATCTGAATCATCAAGAATGAACTCTCAAAAGAGGAGATGCCAGGGAAGAACAGCATCGGGGTTGGCTTTGTGCAGCAGCTATTGAGCATCCGTAGTTGGTTCAAGGAAGGTAAGATTTTCAGACCTTGGTATTGCCAAAACAGTAGTTAAGGCCCAAAGTTTGCAGGACTTCAAGTCTAGTGCACGCTCCTTGATCGAATGGGAATTGAGGTCCTTTAGAAACAAGAAAAGGAAAATAAAAATTACCGTGAGGTAATACCTAAGATGGTGTTGAGTGATCAGTGCACTCACTGGCAGCCCTTCATACCTGGCACACTGCACTGGCATTTTTAATCAAATGGAGCAGTCTCAAGTACCAAAGCAATTATCAAAGCAAAGCAAGCAGCAAGGAGGTGGAAATGCTGCTATGTCAGAATGTGACATCCTAAGCCTGATTTGTAAAGCGCCTTTCTCGTGACAGGGTTTGCAGACTTTGCTACTGCTTCAGGATTAACTCCTCTGAGTAAAACTTAGTTCCTTTATATATATTTAAGAAGAAATTATTTTTTTTCCCCCACAATATGAGAAATGCTATTGCAAATAATCAAATTACGATTATGGCGTTGTTAGCGAGTTGGCTGATTTGTATGAGCCTGCATAGCAATAGCTGGCATTCTACAACAGTGTGTTCTTATTGCTCTGAGCGAGCAGTGATTTTAATAATTGCTGCAACAGAAATATTTTACGTGTATGAGTGAAAGCTTCTTTTGTAGTCACCAAACACAACTGAATCTTTAACTCACAAATGAATTATCAGGAAGACATAATATTTAATACTCTTTCGGTTTTCCAGTACTGAGGGGCACTATTTCACTCTATACTGTTAGTATATATTGCTGTGTGTTATACAGCTATGCTAGTGCTAGTTAATTGGCCCTGGGCGGCTTTGACATTATCAGAGAATGCTACAAAGTGTGGGTCATTAAACTCCTAGGCAATGTGATCATTCCACCTCTGAAAAACCTACAGGGAATGAAGCAACCCTGCTTAATATAGAGAAAAACAAGTGTTTGGTGGGATTCCTTCATAAACTTATCAGCAATCTCTGAACTGAAGGATAGTGGTTCCAAGGACTACACTTTTCCTTTACCTTGGCATTACAAATGAGGTCAATCTGCAAAATTCTGGGCCAAAACTTAAGCCACCTTAAACTTTACTAAAAGGAACAGTAAGTGTTTGGATCAGATAATTTATGGAGGTTATGACTGAACACTGTTCCAATCCTGATCTGCAGAGATACTGAACCCTCTCCACAACTCCTGAGGTTCTTGATTTGTGTCCATCTCTAGTTGGAACAGCAGCATTTGTGGATTATTCCCCAGGGGGAAGAAAATGCCTGGTTCGTTACTGGCATAATTCATTTGATTGCACTCACCACGAGCTTCATAAGCCAGGTAGCTTGGGATTCCTCTGCACATAGCGACGATCTCTGATCCGTACTGCTGGAGGTCAAAGATGGGTCTCCTGTTGTAGATGTATGTGAGCTCCCTCAGAGGTATTCCTTGAGCTTGACCAAGCTGGAACTAAACATCAAACAACATCATTCAGAAAGATCAGTGCTTCGATCCATTTAACGTTATGCATATTCCTATTTCTGGAATGATGACTCAGTACTTGGTGTCTTACTCAAAACTGTGTTTAGCACAGTCTTTTAATCCCCTGTGTGACTGTGGGACCATTAGCAAGCATTGAAGACAGCTCCTGTGGCAGATCTTTCAAAGGAAGACAAGGTGGAGGGAGGCTAAAGAGAACTGGCAACTCAATTAAACAGCTGCAGGAAGAGCAGTGCAGTCAGTATTCTAACAGACCTCCTACAAAAGTATTTCCTCAGTCACTTACTAACCTCTCACCTTAGAGGTACTCAAGTTGTGACTTGGAAGCATGGAAGGAGAAGTCTACTCATTCAGTCTTCTAGAACGGGAACCAAAGAGGGCAGTAGCAACACTTGGTAGATGCAAGTAATTTTAGCGTAAATGTGAGCAGCGCTTATGACCTCTTTGAGAACTCCGAGTGTTTTAGTGGGACAGTTTTTTTCAGAACCGCTCCAGAGTGCTTTGTTTCAAATGAATTTCAAACGTATTTTCCTACTTGAGTGCTCTGTCATCTGGACAAAGTCTGTGGATGCCTGTATTTTCTCTTATGACCTAGGCTTTTTTTGTATCTCTCATTATCCAGCTACAGCTACAGGACTCCTGATCTGGCTTATAGAATTAAGATGGAGGAAAGGCTATTGAATACAGGGATGCTCTCTTATGCCCTAAAGGAAAACGGAGCTCTGAACAACAGCCTCTGCAATGCAATGTTCTGAAGTGAAAAATGCTATTTCACATTGAAATGACTCAACTATTTTTAGATATTGCTATCAAAAAAATAATTAATGCCATTGAAGGTTTCCTAATATAAAATGTGTCTTAGCAACCCACAAACCTAAACTTCCTCAGAGAAAATGCAGCTGGGGAAGTGGGGGTGATGCACCTACGTGTCTTTTGAATAACCATCCCCATGGCAAATTCCCAAGCCACATCACTGTTCAGAGAAACAACCCTGCCACTTGTGAAAATCTCACCCTCTCAAAAAAGAAAAGGCACAGTTAAGAGACAGCTTGATGAATTCCAGGGTAAAGACACACTTAGCAGGTATGACTGGGATTGATGTAGGCTTTCAAAATTATGGTGGAATTTTATCAAAGGTTCCTGAAAGCCCACTCCAGTACAGTTCCTTCTTGCTGGTAAGCGAGGAGCTGAGATAAGCTTCAAGGGGCACAGAGATGCACCTTAGTACAAGCAAGCCTGGAACTACAGCTAGAGGTGAATGTTTTTGCTCAAGTCTGTACTACTGTAACTCTCTCCTTTTTCTTCCCCAGCGTGCCTTCTTGCCCCTTAAAGACAGGATTTTTTACAAGAACTCAGCTCTCAGACTTCAAGAGAAGCCAGTGTTTACAACAGGTTAGTATGCTGAATGCAGAGATAATTTTTAATGTGCTAATTCTGTGGGTTGAACTTGGTCTAATACAGTGCTTAGTTCTTTTGAAAGTTTTGAAAGCTTGAACTCTTATTTAAATTTTTTCCTCATTACTGGCTTATTTTTTCTTCCTCAACTAGAGCTGCCTATAAACCACTTTTTTAGCCTACAAAGAACGTGATATTATGAAGAGTACCATGCCAAAAATCTGAAGTCTCTAAATGTGAAATACTATTAAAAAGCAATCTAAATCTTTTAAAAAAACTATAAGTGATTTACAACATTGAAAAAACATGAAAACCCTCTACTGCAAGCATCTAAAACACAGCATTCTAACTTTTCAAAGGTTTCAAATTATGTTAATGTAAGACATCAGTTTACCTTGCATTACTGTACAACTTCCCAAGTAACTACTCCTTTTTAAGCTTACCCTGCCTTCTTCAGCCAGTCTGGGAAGTGTCTCAAAGGCAGGCATCTCCCTTCTGTTCATTACAGAAATCAAGCAAATTCCCTCGGGCATCACTCTGGTTGCCAGGTAGCCCTAGAAGATAAAGTTATTGACAACTAGGAAAACAGTTTTTCAATAATTAAGATGGGAATAAAGTCTGTATTAGAAAAGTAACAAAAGCAGACAGTTTTTACCCCCAAAGCTGGACTCAAAAAGTTAAGACTAAAGAAACAAGTCCTGTATTTTGGTCAGCTTTATAGGAGCTGGTCACCTTGTACATTTTCTGAAAAGCATGCTCCTTGATACTCACTCCATCGTAGTTCCAAATGCTTCTCCATGGCACACGGGCGTACCTGTCCTCAATGGTTACCAAACGCAATTCCTTGTTGAAGCTCACAGTTTGGTAGGCTCCACCAACATTGACTTGCTTGGCTGGATTCAGATTCTGAAGCTAGAAAACAAAATTAAACAACACTTTAGACTTTCAAGTTAGTTGGTTATTTCCCCAAAGCTTTAGAAAATCACTGCTATAATAAAATAAATACTGGCCTATGAGGAATGCCTTTAGTGACCACAGTATGGTCAAAATTACAAAGAATTAAGGCTGTGGCATTCTGGAGTAGCTGTAAGAATTCTTTTAATAAAATCAGTGAATAATTTCTGTATCTTACAACTGGCATCTGGTGGTTTTAGAGTTCTATGAGTGAAGTTTTAGATTCCTTTCCTCCAAAAAGATGGGGAAAGAAGCAAGGAAACTCAAGAAGCAGTACATATAGAAACAGCAGCAGTGTATGCATAACTTGGTCACTATACTCACAAATTGAGCAAGGGTTGGTGTCAGGAAGAGTCCAAGAAGGACAGTAGCCACAATCTGAAATGAAAATCAAAAACAAAACTGTAACTGTAGGTCTGGCTGACACATCTGGTCATAAGAATCCCAGTGCCTTTTCCTAATCTGGTGTTTAAGTATATTCCTCGGATCCTTTCTTACTTTCATAGTGGAATTTAAACAGCTTCCTAAAGTAAGTCACCCTTGCTTTAGCCTAGAATACAGCAAACTAGACACATAGTAGGTTGCTTTTTAAAAGCGAAATCTGAAGTTGCTCCTGAAACCTGTTTAGTCCTATACGGATATTTAACAAGAATGAGGAGAAGGAACTTAAATTTCTTCTGCTTAGGCATTACAAGAAACTAGTTCATCCATTAGTACACTGATGCAGTTTTGCAAAAGCATTGACAAAAACGGATGTGCATTTGCCTTCGTCTAGATTGATTAATGTATAGCTAAAACTTAGCTCTTCGTCTGATTAGGTTAGAGTCTTGAGTTCCTCACTCTGGAGGAGAAAATCTCCCCAGAGAATACCTTTCTGCTATAGAGAGACTTCTGAGAAACAGAGGCAAAGGTTTTGAATCAGAGTTTTAGTTTATAGGGGGAAAAAAAAGCAGGCATACTCACAGTGAATTTCATCTTGACTGCAGAGCTGATGCTAGTGCAGGCTGAATGAACGGTGCAAACCATCCACCTTATATACCATTTCAGAATTAGGCGTGGAATGGTGAAGTGCTGAAATTACTTTGTAATTTGTATCCCTGTCTGCATGTCACTGAAAATTATTTCCTGCGGTAACTACTTCATAAACATGGGGAATGTACTTCTGCAAATTTTGACCTGCCAGAGTCTGATAATTATCAGATAAGAATCCATTTGCAGTGAAAAATTAAATATGTTTAATTTAAATATGTTTTATAGTAACTTTCTAACATATACTAATTACTTTTGCAAATTCACATCAAACTTAATAGGCTAGGGTTTTAAAAAAAAGCGCCTTGCATTAGACTAAGAACCTTTGTACCTTCTAAAACGTAGTGTATGTCACCATGCAACCATAGGGCCCACCGAAATAGATGGCCCAAATACACCACTGCTACTGAAAATTGTTTTACAAGAGGCAGTTCAAGCTGAAATATTACATATACGTGCAAGTCTGTGGATGTCTCTCTGTTATTTTATGTGGTAACAATTTTTTTCACCTTGCCTCAGCTTCTTTTCTGTGTTGAGGTAAAAACTTACTGAGAGAGGTGCTCATTCGGGGGGGGGGTTTGAAAACTTGGGTTTTGTGTCAAGTTGCTCAGTTTTGTTTTGTGTGCAGCCTTAGTCTGTGGCAGGGAATCAGTGTCAAGAGTCCAAAATTACTTTTCAACTGGAATCCAGAACATTATCTTTAAAAAGGGTTTTAATATATAAAAATAACTTACACCTAGCGCTGCAAGTGCAAGACTAAATTCAATTCTGCTCTTAGTTTCCCCGAGTCGAGTCTGCAAGTCCAGAGGGACACTTTTGATACATACCTTAATGCCAAATGGTGGCTACATTCTTGGTTCTTTACGAGCAGCAGCGCTTGTATGGATTTGTGTCCAAAAAATCGGTTTGTGTGGGAGCTCTGAGGGCTGACTGCCCTCACCGCCGCCCGCTCGTGGTGCCGCTGGGGAAAGCGGGGGACACACCACCAAACAAATCAAAAACCAAAGAGAAACGTGGAGAAAACTCCCTACGCAGCGCGACGGGAACAAACCCTTTGCTGAAGGAACAAAAGAACCTCCTTTAGCCGAGACGCGGGAGAAGCGAGGCGGGGGGCTGGGGAAG